ATCTAGGTCGGTTAGACTACAATGTCTAACCCGCGATACCCAAACGCGTAATATAGGGTCCATTCTCTTTTGATGGAGTTAATCCGCCGCCATCTTGGATTTTTCTGTTCCCTTTGTACTTTTTTGTACCGTTATTTTTTAAAATGAGATGCGAAAAAACCCTACACATGAACCTACGAGTTATGAATACTTAAACCCTAAACCCCTCACATACGCAGACAAGTGACAAAATACATTGACGAAATTGAAACCTACGACTCCAACGTGGGAGAACACTCTACATTTCATCAATTGTACAAAGACATGATGACAGCTTTTCTGGCTTATGTCACCTATTTACAAATCAAATATCGTGCAGTGTGAACAAATAAATCATATGCGAAACACCATATTTTGTACTTAATTAAAAGTATAACCCTAATCACGAACCTACGCGAAATCTAACCCTAACCCCCCTAAAACCCTAAACCCTAAACCCTAAAAACCCCTAGTACACCTACGCGACATTTAACCCTAAAAATCACCCTCGCACACCTACGCGATATGAATAACTAATTAGATCTCATTCGATCGAGACACTCGAACCCAGGCCGTTCGATTTACCGTATAAAGGCGCAACATACTACTAGTAGCGATCGTAATTTGATAAAAAGAAAACGAGTATTTCGGATCACATACTTGTACATGAATTCGCCCAAACAAAGGTCAAACGGCGCCCTCCTGAAATAATTAGAGCCCGTTCTTACAAAAATTTTGACCAAGTCAAATTTTCTAAGGACATCGGGGAGGCCCCATGGTCCGTATGCGAAGTATTCGACAATCTGGATGATTGTTATTGGGCGTGGAAACAAATTTTTGGTGAAATATGTAACAAGCATGCGCCATTCCACGAGTTCAAGGTCAGACACCAGTCCTTACCCTGGATTACTCCGCAAATACGCCATCTTATCAGTTACGTCACAAAACTCTTCTCACAGCAAAAATATGAAACAATCAAGCACTGTGGACAGAGCATCGCTCATTAACTGAGAAACAACGTTATGCATGAAGTCAGAGTTGCTAATTAAAAGCAGGTTCTACGTGGATCTACTTGACGAAGTAAAAGACAGTAAGTCATACTGGAACTTGGTCAAAAAAACTGCTTATTGCTCAGCGTCACAGCCCTTACGCGGCAAAAGGACATCAGAGGGGTCAATCGAAACATCTGACCACAAGAAATCGCAGATCCTTGGTGAATATACTTTTCTTCTGTTGGTGAAAAGTTGGCAAGCGATCTTCCCGTCTGTCGACAAGAGAATAATAATATTCAAATCAACTGCGTTACTCCCTACAAAATGAACATCTCCATATCGCATGCTAGTGTTGCCGAGAGCCTCAAAAAGATGAAAGCAAACAAGGCTTGTGGACGTGATAATTTTTCTCCAAAGCTACTCAAATATGCAGGAAAGGAATTGATGCCTTCATTGTTATCTCTATACACCATGAGTGCTGAACGTAATTCAGTCCCTGCTTCTTGGAAAACTGCTAACGTTTCGGCCTTGTTCAAGAAGGATGATGAAACAGATAAACAGAACTATCGACCAATTTCCCTATTATACGTCCATGGAAGGCTGAGGGAGCAGGCCATAGCTACAACAATTACAACTCACATTTCGGAACATAATCTTGGCCACCCTCACTAGTGGGCTTATAAAAAGGGCCACTCCACGGAATCCTTGTTGGTAAAAATGATCGAGGACTGGAGACGCGCACTGGATAAAAACCTTGTAGTTGGTATCACCTTTGTAGACTTTCGAGAGGCATTTGACTCTATTTCTCACCATGTCCTGCCAGAAAAATTGCAAGCAGTCGGTATTGCGGGCGACCTTTGGTGCTGGATTAAGGATTACTTAGCTAATCACTCTCAAATTATAGTCGTAAATGGATTCCAGTCCGAAACCTTGCCTGTGAACTAAGTTTGTCGTGCCGCAGGGATCTGTTTTGGGATCTACCCTATTTTCGTTGTTTTGCAACGATCTACCTGATATAGCTGGAGTTAGTGAATGCGAAATTCACATGTGTGCGGACGACACGACCGTGGCTGCGTCATGCATCTCCTGACAAGGTTGTCGTTGTCTTAATCAGTGTCCTCCAGAAGTTGTATGAGTGGTGCTGCCGTAATCGCCTCATACCTCACTGTGGTAAAACCGAGTGCATGATTTGAATTAATGCGCGGCCACTCTGTTAGGCCGTTGCAAGCAGTGTCATTGGAAAACAGTGTTGTCCATCAAGTCGCAGACTGGAGGCTCATTAGAGCATTTGTAGTTGGAAATGCAGCAGTTTTTGGTCTATGTAAGATAGCCATGGGAGATGGTGTTTCTTAAAAGCGTCAAATTTATAATCACAAATTGCCAGAGTTAATTATGTCAGCTGTTACTTATCTCACAAGGACTGGGAAGTACCGAATTCACGAATTTGATCGGCTGAAATCAATATTGATAGTGGTCTAGATTTTCCCATCTAGACCGGCATCTAGACCGGTCTAGAAAATAAAGGTACAAAGAATATAAAAAATTGGCATATAAGACACAGCCATATAGAACAACGCTTTATATGGCGTTGCTCCTCTAGAACAACGCTCTTGATCTCATGCCCCATAAAAAAAGTCAGCTTCTTGGAATTTAAGTTCTCTGTTTCTTCCTGTAGAACTACGGTGTATGTCATTGGGTCCGGCGATAGTAAATACCCATCTTACTTTCCTAATATTGTCACAGATACAAATACTTATTTTCTTGTCTATGAATTCTCGCAAAGAAACACTAGAAAGAGAGATCCAACTTTTAACATGACTTGAAACGTCCGCCATGAACCAAACAACCGCTGATTGAT